ATTCCTGAAACCTCTTTACCCAAGTTCTGTCCCTCTCCTCTGGTAAGTCATTGATATCACGGGTAATCATACAATATTATCCCTGCTCTCAGAAGTATCCTGGCATGTCTTAAGAGGATGTTCCATTATTATCTCTGAGATAATCTAACATGTTACTATCACCCATTCTCATGTTTTGATGCTGGAACTTTCCTACTGGACTAACCTCACAGTTTCATCTTTCCTGCAATCAAAGCATGTTTCTAGAAGGAAAGTCGCTACTACCCAAAGGCAACAGGAAATCTGACAAAGAAATCTTTAAGGCCCTCTCAGGGTAGCCACTGTTCGTTTGCTTAGTGGGTCTGGCCATTTCTCCTGCCGGAGATCAGTTGCCTCACTGACTAGCAGGGTAAACAACTTAGCTGGAGTACTGATAGTAAGCCTACCACAGCCAAGTTCACTGGTACATAGGCAATGACACTACATCACAACTGCCTTCCGGTTGACAACGATACATTGGTGATTCTCAGCAGCTGTAAGATTCATCCCCACTTCAGAGATCTTAAACTAGGGGAAAAAGTGTGTCTTACAATCAATGTACTAAATAAAAAAACTCATTAAGAATTAAAATCTAAGCCGGGCTCGGTGGCTCAGCCTGTAATCCCGCGCCTTTGGGAGGCTGAGGTGAGTGGATTGCCTGAGCCTGCGGGTTCGAGACCCACCTGGGCAGTGAAACCTCATCTCTACAATAAATTTAAAAAACCCCAGCTGGGCGTGGTAGCGCATGCCTGTAATTCCGGCTACTTGGAAGGCTGAGGCGGAAGGATTGCCCGAGCCCAGCAGGTCGAGGCTGCGGTGGCCGGGAGCGGCCACTGCACTCCAGTCTGGGTGACAGAGTGAGACTCCAACTCAAAAAAAAAAAAATTAAAATCTATGAGGTATAGAGGAACCCCTGCTAATCAATCAATCAGTACAGTGCAAAAAGGTGAAGCAAAACACACTTTCAAAATGTGAAAAAATTCACCTTCCATGGACCCTTCTTAGGAGCCTATCTATAATCTAATGATACAAGAGAGTAAACCAAGAAAGAAGAAACAGTCAACAGGAGAAGGATAAAGGAAGATTCCTGAGCTAATGATGACAGGAGACTCCAGGGCTGCCCTGTGTAGAAGCCATGTGCAGCACCAGTCAGGACTGGGGCAGGACGGGGTTCTAGAAAGAAAAAAGAAGATGAACCCAACAATGTGTTTGAACTTTCTGAACGGCTGAACGGAGTTACACTCCTGGAGGAAGACAACATAATAAAGACAGAAGTGTCAAACCAAGCAGGTGAACAAATGATAATTATCAACTCCAGGGAAAACAAACACAAAAATGTAACCACTCAATAATCCAAGGACACACTATACTGGAACTGTACTTTTCTAGGGAGAAGAGCCGAGCTAGGTAGCCACGTAAGCTGGGTCTGTGGAGGAGGCATTAGAACCACCCCAGCCCAGGCTCACACCAGGCTGCTGCACTTGCTGAAGGAAGATTACCTTCTCCTAATCCACACAAAAGCATCACACGAGCAGCTACATGTCTGCAGAAAGCCAGTCTCTATCTCCCACAATGAATGAGTATACAGTCACATGCCTCATAAGAGCAGCTCAGTCAATGACAGACTGCATACACGACGGTGGTCCCATGAGATTATCAAAACAGAATACTGTACCTTTTCTATGTGCAGATGTTTACATACACAAATACTTATCATTGTGCTATGACTACAGTACTCAGTACACTCACAGGTTTGCAGACTAGGAGTAATAGGCTACGCATACAGCTTAGGTAGATAGTAGGCTATGCCATCTAGAATTGTGTAAGTGCACTCTATGATGCTCACATAACAAAACTGCCTAACTTAAAATATATCCCTGCCATTGACTCCTAAATGTAATAAAAACTGGGGAAAAAAATCAAGAGATAAATAAGTTACTAAGAAAAACAGAGGTAAATACCAAAAAAAAAAAAAAAAAGCTAAAGAAACAGAAAGTTGTTTCTTTTAGAGAGTGGAAATCTGGGGTGAGAAAGTGTGGCATAGTAGTGTTGGGAGCCAGCCTTGGAGGCCCGTCGGATTGACAAAGTCCAAGTGTGCTGAGAACCCCCAGCCGCAAAGCGAGCCCGGGGAAGCTGAGGCCCTTCTGTCTTCCACCTTTGCTGTTTGGTATGGCCGAAGAATTCTGTGCAGTTGTGGAAGAAGAAAATGGCATGTTGATGTGAAGTATTCACAGCTAACCTGGAAATGTCATGGTTCATTTTTTCATCTCCCACTATGCCGTTTGGCCTTTTCTAATGTATGCAAGGGTTAAACTCTGAAGCACATCAAGAATGCTTTCTTTCACTTGGTTATAAGTTACTAGATATTGCTTGAGAAAAAATGATATACATATATTCACTCCTTGTTTGATTTAGAATTATGTAGTTTAGTGTTTAGACATAAGGTTTTTTAGAAGCACAAGTTTATAGTAAGTTCATTATGAATTCGTTATAAGTTCTAACACTTATCTAGGAGTTATGTAGGTGATTTATTGCACTGTTTTCACAGACTTAGGATAAAGATTAATCGTTAAGGTTTTTACTTAATTCAATAGTTAAAATTCTAAGTTAACGTTTATAGAGTGGGTTCTCAGTGAATTCATAATATACTAATTAGATACTTCTATGATAAATTAACTAAATACAGAAAGTAACCTTGGGGGCCTGGGAAACATTACTAGAAGCTTCTTTTGAGTTTTCTTTAGAAATAAACACTGCAGGATAAGAGAAAAGTAACGAAGACACCTGAACAAAAAAGGCAATTACAAAGCTTTAAAGGTCATAGAAAGCTCAAAAAAAAAAAAACTCCTGCTACATGGAGAAATGTGCACTTGGAAACTTTCTTGAGACATTTCAAGGACTGTAATTCGGGACTCTGGACTAAAACTATCATTTTTGGCTTTATGAATAAGACTCATTGTCTGAATGTTTATTTGTAGCTTGGCTTGTTTGTAGCTTCTAGACCGCTAGATGATGGTAACTTTTAAAGAATATGTATGTGAAGGAATTTTCTCTGTCTTGTCCCTTTACGAATGGTATAAAAGCTCTGTGTTAACTAACATAAACTGTCATCTGTTCAGCAACAGGTGTCTGAGTATACTATTTTCGTCTTTTGCCTTATTCGTCTCTCCTTCAGGAAATCCCAGACCCGGCAGGGGCAGGACCCCTGCATAGTAGAATGTGGCTTTTCTTCTAAAATTTTAAATTATGCATATGTTTACTAATTAAAATAACCTATTAGTAAAATTTAATACAGAAACTGATTAGGGGAAAAAAGTCATGAGATCAAGAGATGCAAAAAGTCTTTGGTAAGATTTAACACTCTAACTTAAAAAACTACCAAAAATTGCCCTTAGTAACCTAGGAAGAAAAAGGAATGTCTATAATTTGATATGGGTTATCTCTTAAAAGCTACCAGGTATAGGAAATTCAGAAGGCCATTGTCACGTCTCCTATTCAACAATGAATGGAAGGTGGCCTAGTGAGTCCATGAAGAAATAGAAAAAAAAAATGCACCTCATGGTGGAAACAAAAATACTCTGGTACCTAGAGATGAATCACTTAAAAGATAGGCAGTGTTAATTTCCTGGCTGTGATATTGTCCATTACCACTAGAGGCAACTGGGTAAAAGGTATAAGGAATGAACCTCTTTGTATTACTTCTTACAGCCGTATATGAATCTACAATTACTTCCAAATAAAAAGAAACAAAAAGATAAGTATTTATGACAGAAATTTAACTTTACTGAGGAAAATAAAAGATCCAAATATACAAGTGATAAACCATGCACACGGGTGGTGTGAGACTCTATCAGTTAGATACCAATTCTCCTAAATTAATCCATGAATTCAATGCATTTCTTAAAAAAAAAAACACAAATGCATTTTTGATCAAATTTGATCACCTAAACCTAAACTCACAGTGAAGAAGGAGTCAAGAATAGCTTAGACAATTCTGAAGAACAAGGAAGTGGAAAGACTCACTCTTGTCAACATTTTATTTAAAGCTGTATTTATATGGGCAAGGCTCTCACCCATGGAGACACAAATGTACCCAAAGAATAGAACTAAAAGCCAGAAACAGACCCTTTATTAAGGGAATTTGGTATACAAAAGAAGGAAAATTTCCAGTCAGTAGGTAAAAACTGGACTATTCAACTAAAAATGCTGGGACAACTGACCATCATATGGAAAACAGTGAAATTAGACTTTTGGGGTAGAGGATTTCTTAAGACCTCAAAAGATCCAACTATAGGATAAAAAAATGGCAAGTTTGATTTCAGAACATGTGAAACTTTTATAAGATTAAACAGATTCACAGAAGTGAAGAATAAAAGCCTCTCTGAGATCAGATCAGAATGAGAACAATGTACTCAGAAAAGTATCTTGCATCACATTAAAAAAAAAAAAAACAACTAAATATTTTCATGGCAATAGGCATATGTGGCAAAATTATAAATGTAAACAAAGAAAATCTATCCATCAACTTTAAGACAGTGGTTATCTTGTGTGGGAGGCAAGAGTAAGTGATAGACGCAAAGGAGTTTCTTAAGCTTTATCTGTAGCTTTATTTCTTTGTAAAAATAGATTTGAATTAAATATAGCAAAATGCTAATGCCTATTAAATTTTGGGTGGTGGGTACATAGCTGTCTGATATCGTCTGTATTCTTAAAATAATTATGTATGTACGTATGTATGTATACACTTTTTTTTTTTAAGAAAAAAGGGCAAATATTAACGTTCAAAGAGGCTTAAAAGAAGGCCCACGCCATCCTCAGAGTACATTTTTTTCACTGAGATCTAAAACAGTTAGTTACTCCCAGGAATTTCTAAGTGTTTTATTTCAGTTAAAAAAGGAGTACTATATAAAGCACTACTCACTGTAGCAAATAAACCTATAGGAAACCAAATACAAGTCCTTTAAATAACAGAACAGATTTACCCTGAAACAATGTTGTAGTTGAGAGCAGGATGGTCTTTGGGGACAGAAGGAACAAGAGGTTCTGGTTGCCACTCTTCAATCAGTTCTTCTTTTTCCTGCAGGAGAAAAGAAATGAAAACACAGTGCAGTGCTAGTCACTTTATATTTACTTCAGCAATATCTAAATTGTCTGTTACATTGAAAAAGTAATAATGAATACACTGCTAGAAATATGTCTAGCTGTTATGGCTAGAATGAAAAAAGACTCACTCCTGAGTTATGTGTGCTTACCACTCTCATTTCTTTCCCCATCAGAAGGGCTCTTTTCCGTGTAGTTTTGTAGGTGACTTGACAATTTATGAAAATTTGATTTCTATGCTCAGGATTTTCTTTTTTTTTCCTCATCATACACGACACATCAAAATTCATTCTGAGGTGAGTGTGAGTAGGATTCTTTCCAACTCTGAATCTCCTTTAAGATGATCACAGGGGAAACTTTCCCCTAGGCTTCAGAAACAGCAGTGCTTTTCCTGAGTAACTTATATAACAATCCTCCGGACATTCAAAATCTGGCAGTTGTCTATGCTTCCCTCTAACCATCTGCTTGTAAGACTGCTATCCACACTTAGCAAAGTATATAAAACCAGAATGGTACTCTCTTGGATACTGACTTTATCCCTAGATCTCTCCATATGTTGCCTACCCTGACATTTCATTTCCCTCGATTTCTTTACATTACAGAAAACATTGCAACATACATAGTTGGGCCACCACAAATACTTTTTGGAAAGATGTAGCAACTGAAATCACACACAAAATATCAGATTTAATTTCTTACCTTGACTGTAAGGTCAGATCGTTCTTGTAATTTGTAAGTTTTAGAGAAAAGAAGTCTGATTATCCAGAGGATTAGAATTCCTTCCAGAATAAGATGGTAAGCAGGAGCCTAAGAGTGAGGCAAAAACGAAAAAGAAGTTAAAAACACACTTCCAAAACCTGCACATAAAATTTAGCATGCCTGCTATCCTACCTCTCATGACCTTTAACCTATTACTTCTTACAATTTCCATTCATTCCTTCCCTCATTTCTAATAGCGGATAATTTCTCTTTCACATAAATAATCTCTACTATTTTTAACTTAAAACTTTTTTAGAGATAAAAATTTAAAAAACTGACACAGAATTTCAGTTTTTAAAACATTATCAACTATTAGCTCTTTCAGGTAATTTAGTTTTTTACTGGTGAGGAATGACTGTAACAAAACATTTCACAGCTTTACAGGCCCTCCACTACCTCCACCTACACAAAAATGACTTAAGGGAGTTAAGTGGGAACCAGTTTCCACTTTCTTAAAATTTTATACATTTTTTTGGTATCCCTAATAAACTTCTTTAAACCCTTTTTGGAATATGGCAGAAGAAAAAAAAAAAAAGACTATAAATGGTTAAAGGAATGGCAGGGATCTTTTCTATCACAGTTCTCCCAAAAGTATGTAGTGTTTTCATGTCAACAGGCAAAAAGATATTTTAATGAAATTATCCATCTCAGGTCTTCTTGTCAACTGTATGTTTTCAGGATAAAGGCCAGGCTGACATTCTTTGTTTTGTATAACTAGACACTAGTTGTGCATGTGGAAGTTTCCAGATATCAACTAAATCCCCAGTTAATTTATGCTCTATTTCAATGGTTGCCATTGGAAAAAATCACTTAAAAGAGGCATTTAGAAACCTCCACACAAATTATTTGCAAATACTAGAAAGGAAGAAAGTTAAAATGATTCACCATAGTTAAAAAAAAAAAAAAAACAACAACCCCAAAACAGAATGTGGAGACTGGAAAGCTGCTGACAAACGTGTGCAAAAACTTTCAAGTTAGTGCACTAACAACTTTAAAACTATACACATATGCTACTCCCCCACACATGGCTATTTCTTTTTTGGGGAACACTGCACAAGACTACTCAAATTCTACAAAGTGCAAAGGAATTAACTGGAAGTAAGAAGTCTCCCTTTAAGATGATTTTTAAAATCTGCTGATTCACCTTGAATATAATTTATTTACAAATATGTGTAAACACTCTTTCAGCTTTCTCAACAATTGGATTCTAGCAGGCAGGCAAACAAACATCTGCCTAAGCCACTAGTTAAACAGCATACCCCACAAAGAAATCACCCTAATAAAAGCAGACAGACTACTTGTCCAGTGAGTTAATAAAAATCACAAAATGTCACTTATTTTCTTCCCTAAGAGATGTTACATACAGGAGTTTTCCCAAGTCTCACACTGGACAACTTCAGGGTATGAGAAGTTAACATTGTCAGTCTTCAAAATGGGAGTACACAACATGTAACAGAAAACAATCAATTAACAAAATCATTGCTAAAAAAAGATCACCCAATATTCTTCTTACCTTAGTCGCTATAATTAACTGACATTGGCTATTACTTAATAAACAAGAATAGGAGTCATAGCCGCGCGCTCAGCTACTTTTCAAGAAAAACAAAAATTCACAAGGTCTTGTAATGGAAGACACCATCGTTATCCCTGTAAGCAGGAATGTTAAGTTTACAAAAAAAAAAAAAAGGCAAAAGAAAAGTGAAATTCACTTTAGTGACGACTGTATTGAATCGCTCAGAGACAGGAGATGCAGAAAGTTCTACGGGACAGCGCTGGGAATCACAGATGTTAAATGAATGAGCATCCTCTAAGACTGACATTTTGGTTCATACTACCTCCCATATCCGAAATTGCTAGCTTTTTATTTAAAAAACAACAACAACAACCTAACTATTCTTCCTTTAAAAATCTACTAAGACAGCCGTATTTTTATAAAGTAAAGAAATGGGACGTATGCGGGAGGATGACAAACTCTTTCTCTAACCCACCCTCCCGCAGCCCTGGACAAGCACAAACTCTGATGTACTCCAATTCTACCCCGAGGTACGGCTCTACAGTTCCAGGGACCTCATTTCCCCGGGGCTTTGCCAACTGAGAGTCTCCACTCCGTGTTCACCGCTGTTTCACCACCATTGCCACCCCGGTCTTCGAGGACCTGCCTCCAGCGCCCGGACGGGATCCGGGGCGAAGCGCTCACCCGAGACCCGAGACCCGAGACCCGGGACCCGGGACC